AGTTCCAGGGTGTTTGTGAAATGGGTGATGCCAGAATTGGCCAGGGACAGTAGTAACAGTCAGAGCTGCTGTGGTAAATCCTGTCCTGTCTGGTCCTGTGCCAGTGGATGTTTCACTTTATCATTGAGGCAAGTTATTTCACTGGTTTTTGTCTTATATTTGCTCTTACTGTGCTATATTATCATCTTTGTAGACAGCTTTAAACTAGTAACAGCAGCTACTTGACTGTAATTAAACCTAATAACAGTTTAAATTATACACACTTGAGTGGTTTGGTCTTTGAAACTGAATTTATGATATTTGCACTTTCTCTTTTGGCAAAAAACATGTGCTTTCCTGGCAGACAGATGGCTTTACAGGTGATAAACATTTGGGAAGACTAGAATTAGTTGCAAGACTTCAGTGTACAAACAGAACACTGACATTTTGACTGGTGGATTCCCTCACCTCTAAGGATGTTGATGGGGTGTTTGTTCCTAGAAAGCAGAGTAAAATTGAGCTAAACTTTCTCTTGAAATGTTTACAGCATTTAGCCAGCAGCTGCAGTTTGGCATTAAAGCTGCTTGAGGAGCCTTGTGGGAGTCACACCCGTGTTGGGTTTATGGGCTTTTTACCCCATGGTTTTCCAACCTGTAGCAGTTTCGGTTGATAGCTGCCTGGAGCACACACTAAGTGAGGTGAAGGAACTTTGGTCACAGCATGTGACAGTCTGGGATGTACTTCAGTAGTAGGAGAGGTGATAAACTGAGGAAAATGTCTCAATTTTTAGAGCAGAAGTGGCTGGGCTGGCTTAAACCAGTTTTGCTCTTTCTGCCCAGCTAAAGTGCTCCTTAAATCCCACCTCCTCACCCAGCCAGCCTTGCCCATCTGGAGCTGTAAGTGAACCAAAGCTGTGCATGTGGATGTATTTACTGCCTGGATCCTCTCTGGGAGCATGTGCCAAGGTTTTTCTGCCTGGTTAGAGGCAGCTGAAGAGCTCCTGGACTGATTGTCTCACAGGGAACAAGGTGGGACACCCACACACAAGAAAGGGGTGGCCCCAAGCCACCTCCCCTCATGCCCCTGCACCCTCCAGGAACAAGGAGGGGGCTCAAACTGGACATGGGGTTGTTGACCAGCTTAAATCAGACTCCATCAGCAGGAGAGGAGGAAGGTCTGTGCCTGTGATTGCTGTGACCTGGCACATGGGAATTGGGCAGGGGTGGGTGCTGCACCACTCCCCAGTGTGGGTACCCACCCTGTCCTGGACAGAGGATGCGCAGTGTGGTGACCAGCTGCTCTCTGCTGTGCTACTTGGACTTTTGTAAGAGTCCTGTGGTTTGAACAAAATGGAAAAAGGCTTTTTAAAATTAAGTGTCAGCAAACTGATGAGTAAAACTTGACAAATTGTGCTGTTTTGCCTCCTAAAGGCTGAAATGAGGCAATTCAGTATTTGGGAAAAGAAAAAATAAGAGAATTTCCAGAAGGATTCTTAAATTCCTGGGTGGATTTGCAAATAGTTTGGGTAAACATAGACATCATCCTTTTCTGGCAAAGCCAATACTCAGCTGAGAACATTGCCTGGCCCCAGCTGTAGTTTGCTGCCTGTTTCAGCCACCAGAGTGGGTACCTGGCCTTTCTGAGAGGGTAGGAGCACTGCTGGGGCCAGAATATTTGCCCTGGCCCTCTTTTGGACACTCTGGTGTAGTTACAGCTGTACTTTCTTTGAGTATTGAGACATTGGTAAATGCTCTCTGTCTTAAATTAGCCCCCAAATTGGTGTTTTAACTTCTGTTACCTGTAGTTCAGCTGGTGATTCCAGTCTGGGGCACCAAATACCCTGGAGAGAGGGGACTTAAAGCTTCAGGATGATGAAAAAGCCCCTGGTCTCAGTCCACAGAGAAGAAAGAACTAGGAAATAGGGTGCAGGTCTGAGGTGTGCAAGCACATGGCCACATGTTCACACCCTTCCCTCTCACACCAATTTCAAATTTTATTTTTGCAAAAGTCTGCTCTTGGGTCTTTGACTGACGATAGGTTTCTGCAAGGAGGAATAAATAGGCATAATAATTTTATAGCTATCATTGAACACACAATTAATCTATGTCTTGGAGGAGGCAGTTCCTTCTTCCTCTCTCACTGGCTGCTCTGGTTCCCCCCTTTATACTCTTGTGGTTCATTTGCTGTCTGGTTTCAGGCAGAGAACAGCTCTCTGATGTTTGGTATCTGAGTGTGGCTGATACCTCATGAAGTTAGTTTGGGATGGAGAGCTGGGACTCATGCTGCTTGGGAAGTGCTCAGAGCCTTGCTTTTTCCTGCAGACTTGGAGTAGTATTCCCTTATTGCTGTCTGAGCTCAGTGGTGATGGACGAGAGTGTTTGAAAGAGCAAAAAATAATTCCAGCCTGGGGTGGAAATGGAAAGACTTGAATGAAACATCTCACTGTTTGAAGATGAGCCTGTATTAATGGAAACATCACCCACAACCATACCCTGACTTGTGGGTGCCCTTTCTCTTGGCTTTGTTGTGCTGATTTGACAAACTCACCGCAAGCCCTTGCTGAGAGACAGCACAAGCTTCAAATGAGAAACAAGACTGTGTAGCCCAGAGCTGAGGCTGCATGTCCTCCCAGGAAAGCAGGGAGCCCCAGCTCCCCTCCCAGGAAAGCAGGGAGCCCCAGCTCCCCTCCCAGGAAAGCAGGGAGCCCCAGCTGTTGTCCCAGGAAAGCAGGGAGCCCCAGCTCCCCTCCCAGGAAAGCAGGGAGCCCCAGCTGTTGCCCCAGGAAAGCAGGGAGCCCCAGCTGTTGTCCCAGGAAAGCAGGGAGCCCCAGCTGTTGTCCCAGGAAAGCAGGGAGCCCCAGCTGTTGTCCCAGGAAAGCAGGGAGCCCCAGCTCCCCTCCCAGGAAAGCAGGGAGCCCCAGCTCCCCTCCCTGGCACGGTGGGACCTCTGGCATGGCCTCACACCCTCAGCACGCTGCTCACGGTGCCTTCAGGGTGCTCCCTGCCCCGACAGAGCCATGGTAGGTGTTCTGCAACTATTTTCTGGGAGATGGGTTGGTTGGGGGGGGTGGTTTGGAGAAGTGAATCAGAGCAGAGCTGCTGAGGGTGAAGGGGTCAGACTGAGATCTTCTCCTGTGCCTTTCGTAGCTTCTGAACTGTCTGCTTTGGTGTGTAACACCTCAGTCAGCCGAGATTTGCAAACTAGCCTTTCATTTTGACTGTCTGATCTTAGAAAAGATGGACTGTGCTTTCTAAAGGTGGAGCCCACAGTAGCTTTCATTCACAGCCATGGAAACTGCACATCCTGAGCTTGTCTTGAGCTTGTCTGGTTCTTCCTGAGCAAGGAGAAGTTTAAATGGCTAATTAAAAAAAGAAAAAAAGAAAAAGGAGGCTAAACTTTACTCATGATAAACACCTGGCTATATAAGTGGAAAATGGGTTTGGGAATTTAGATCAGATAATAGGAAAAAAATTTTCACTGAAACGGTGAAAGCAGTCTCTGGAACAGGCTGCCCAAGGAAGTGGTGGAATCACCATCCCTGGAAGTGTTCAAAACACGTGTGAATGTGGCACAGTTGGACTCGATCTTAGAGGTCTTTTCCAGCCTTTATGATTTTGTAGTAAGTGTTTTCACCTCTGTCCATGGGCTCCCTCTTCCTTACAGTGGGGTAAAAGATGCTTTACTTGACTAATGTGCCTCCAACCTGAGGAAACTAAGTCTGAAACTAGTCTGAAAACTAACAAGTACTGTCAGCATAGGAAATAGTCAAATATAATGGTATTTCTGCCCCTCTGAAATCAGGAAGGGACTAATCCTGCAGTAGGACTTGCTGGCACACAAGCAGGGTGTGGGTAAGGCAGCCTACCCACAGGACCACTGTGGATGGTGTGAGTGGAGGAGGTTGGGAGCACAGCAAGGGTCTTCCAGTTTCTGCAACAGCTCAGTGTCAAAACTGCCTACACAAGAATCCTCTCTCATGACGTGGCATCTTCCCCGTTCATAACAAACTTTCAGCTCACACATGACAGAACAGTCACTTTTCCAAGCCTATCCCCCAGGGAGGCTGGACACAGAGCTTTCCCTGGCCCCGTGAGCAGTGGCCATTTACATGCCTTGAAGGGGAAGAGATGGTTAAAGCCTGACTTCAGTTTTGGTCTCAGCAGAGCTCTCTGCCAAGTGGCACCATGCCACAGCTCTGAGTTCACTCCTGAGCATTAATTTACTTCTAATTCTGTGCCTTGGTCAGAGTTGTGTTGGCATTGCAGCACTGTATCCTTGCTAATGAGGTAGCAGGGCTGATGCAAGCACAGGACTCCTGGATGGACACTGGCAGCATCCCAGGGAAGGTACTTTTAGACTCACTGGAGACATGCCAGACGTCACGGATGATATATTTATACTAATGATGCTTCATCATCGGTGAAGGCCAGGACAGGCAACGTGTTCTTGGTGTAGGCAGGACTGCATTTGCTTTTTGTAGCAGAAAAACAAAATCATCTCCTGTGAAGGAGACAAGTTGTCTCACTCACAGGGAACCAGCACTTCTATAACTGAGAATATCAGGCACTCCAGTGGGCATAGCTTTGCCCACTGGAAATCACATCTCCTCACCCTCCCTCCTCTCCCTCTGTCCTTTCCTCCTGGACTTGGTGATGTAGGTCAGGTGTCTCAGACTGGATGTTGTGACTTGTCAATGAATGCTCTAACAGCATCAGAGGTTCCCAACTCCTCCTTGGAGGAGGTCAGAGGGCAGATGGTGCTGCCTCACACTGGTGCTCACGTGTTTGGGGTCAGCCTATTATGGGATGCCGAGTGTTCCCTGACTGTGGTACTGTCATGGAAAGCCTGTCTTGCTGACATGAACTGTGGTGTAACTCCACTGCAAACACCTGGGTGAACGGAGAATCACCAGTGCATACACAGGAGTGCAGAATAAATGTGAGTATGACCAAAACCAGGACAAGCACTCCTGGTTATGCCCCATCTACGTTGTCCAAGTCCTACCCCAAATGCAAACCGGATTGTGTGTCACAAACATCAGCTGTTTTCTCTTTATTTCATTGTTTTCAGTCCTCATACAACTACAAATTTAGCATCACTGCTAGAGAGAAAAAAAAAAAGAGGAAAATACAGCCATTCATAGGATAACATAATTTCAATCGCTGTGAGACAGCTGATACCATTAAAAATCATGGCCCTGTTATAGGCTTTCATTACTGATGGCTACTTGAGGAGACATACACTATAAAATATAAAGATAAAAAGTGAAAGGCTATTTAGATAGATGTTCAGCTGAATCCTGCTGGCATCAAATCAGTGGCACTGGAGAAAATGAGAACAGACATACGGCACAGCCTCTGGACTAAATGTGTGCACATCACGGGTCTGCCAAGGCTTCACCTTTACAGTGTGCACTTTAAATCAAAGCAACATTGGAATCAATATTGATTGTTCTTGGAGATAGATTTTTACCTTCAGGCACTGCTGTTTCCCAAAGGGGCGTGAGCAAGGACATATGTCTCTGTGCAGTGCTGGCTGCTCGTGGACAGGGATCTCCCTGAAATCCTCTGGAACCGATTCCTCCTCTGGAAGTACCCGCTGTTGCTGCTGAGGGACCGCTGCCTGTTCTTCAGGTACTCCCGGTAGTTTTTGGTGAGCAGGGTGTAGAGGAAGGGGTTGATGCAGCTGTTGCTGTAGGTCAGGCAGGTTGTCAAGTAATTAATGTTCTTCATCACCTTGGGAGATAAAGGGAAGGATTCGTAATACTGGAAGAGGAGCTGCCATATCCAGAAGGGCAAGAAGCAAGCCCAGAACACCAGCACTATGGTGAAAATTAAATAGAGCACCTTCTGGTTGGGCAGCCTCTTGGTCTGTTTGAAGGAGGCTGTTTGTGATACCCAGTATATTTTAGCCAATCGGATGTAAAGGTAGCCAATGATCACCCCTGGGCCCACAATGCTGGTACCAAAAAGGATGGTGAGATACACTTTGTAGGACAGCTTGCTCCAGGTGGGCAGGCAGATGCTTTTATTGTCCCTTTGCACCAGCTGGATCATGATGAGCATCGGGAGAGTGAGCAGCAGTGACACCAGCCAGATCACAACAGCGATGGCCTTGCGGTAGCTCTTGGACCTCTTCACTGTGTCCAGGGGCTTCAGCACAGCAAAGTAGCGCTCTGTGCTCATGACTGTGAGGGTGAAGATGCTGGCATGCATGGTGAGGAAGTCCAGACTGAACAGGATGCGACAGCCAATGTCCCCAAAGTACCATTTCTGAATGAAGTAGGTCCCGACGATGAAGGGGATGGTGAGAAGGTAGAGCAGATCTGCCAGCGCAAGGTTGATGATGTAAATGTACATGGAAGCAGAAGATCTCAGGTAATGGCACATCACCAGCAAGGTGTAGACATTGCCTGTCACCCCAATCACACACATGAGGGAGAGGATTGTCCCGATGGTGCAGATGGCAATCATGTCCTCCATGGAACCGGTGGCTGACATCCCATCCCTGGTGGCATTGCCAGAGGTGTTGGACCGGATTCTGAACAGGCTGTCCTCACCTGTGTCTGTCACCATGTAGGGGGTGGCAGAAAAGTGGCTCTCCAGCTCGTCAGTTAGAGACATCCTCCTGGGGTTTAAAAGCCAGAGGCTTTTCTCATGCCACAGGGATCTGAAGGGGTTCTTCTTGTTCTGAGAAACGCGACTGCTGGGAGATGGTAAACCATTTCTTAGTGGGGTGCCATCTGAGGACAATCTGCATTCTTCTCTAGAGGAAAGACATCAAAACCAATATTTCAGAAATCTGCCAGAGTAACACAAATGATCCCTTAGAAGTTACCTGTCCCCTGAGTACATATCTGCACTGCCTGCCTGTACCTGTGTTTGTCACTGAGGCCACTTGTGTAAGGCTTATTCTATCATTATAGGAACCCAGCTGTGAGGTGTGACATCTCAGAGGTTGTGTTTATCACTGGAACTGCTTACTGCAGTCCTTAAATTCAGCTTGGAGTTTGGAGGAGAAAAGCATCCTTCCTAAATTCCTACCAATGACTTACAGAGCATGATTGCTTAAACCTCTTTGCTACATTTTTAACTCTGAAGGAGTGAAAGATCCCCAAAAAAGGGAAAACCAACTTTGGATTTACCATTTGCAGTTCAGTTGTATGTTCTGTGTTAGTGATGCACTCAAAGTCCTGTCCAGCATTCCTGCAGTGTTGTCAGAGAGCAACTTCCCTTGAATGAGAAGCTCCTCCTCTGTCCTGACCTGCAGCTTCAAATGGTATTTGAGTGATGGAGAGAAAGGCATTTTCTATCTACAAAGCAAGGTGTAGGTTTCACTGTGGGTTTTATATGGCTGTAAACACAGGGTTTTTCATGCTCTCTGTCACACACCTATTTCAGAGAGACCTGTCTGTGAACCTGCCTAAACAGCCTTGAGCAGGGAGGTGTGAGATTGCAGTGTGCTAGGCAGGCAGCCACTCTTTGTACGTGGAGCTCTTGGTGAGATCAAGCTCAACACTGTGCAAATCATGACGGTGTTGCTTTGGATTCATACTGCTCTGGGGGTAGGCAAAGGGACATCAAACCTACCTGAAAGAAATGCTGAAGTAGCTACAGTGCCCAGATTTTAAGGCATACCAAAAGCTTGTGCCATCCTAAGCATCACTGGACACACAAGTGTGTTTGCACTGTGTGTTGTACAGTGCTCAGACTGTCTCTTTTTTATAGAAAATGCTGAGGAAGGAGTGCTGGACTGCCTTGTCCCTGTAGGGCTCCACATACAAAGACTTCCCTCTGCTTCATTCCACTGGGCAGGTTGGGTTGCTTGTATCCAGGGAATTTGCAGCTTTTCCCAGGATGTTTTGTGTCCGTTTGTCTCTACACCAGCTCTGACTCCTTTGCCTTTTCCCCTTAGTAGCTCCTTGGCAGGAGAATGACAGTTCCAGGCCCTCCTCTGCTGCCCTTGTGTCACCCTGACAGTGACCTCTGTGGCACTTGAGGATGGACAATTTTCATCCTCTTTGACTTGCCCTCACCTTCTCCCTGTTACCACCTGCTGAGGATGATGGGAGCTACGGAGATGTCATGCAAAAACTCTGTATAAAAAAGGACAACTCAGTACAGATGGAGGTTTTTCCTCACTTAGCAATTGGGATAGAGCTGCAAAAAAACCCAGAAATACACAGAGCCCATCTCCCACCCCAGTCCCTTGAGTACACACATCCAAGGGGGAGAGATGAAGAGTGGTTCTGCAGTGGTCAGTGCTCCTTCAGGACAGGGCTCTTCTGGGCTGGTCCCCAGCAGCTTCACCAGCATCTCAGCTTTCTTGGACCTTGCAAACCCAAATATGCCTCATCCCTCCCCTGCTGTGCTGTGCAATCCCCTCCTGCTTGGTGTTGGGGATGTGTAGCCAGTCTGTCCATGCAGCAACTCGTTCACTTTATCAGTGTTCGTGTACGAGCTGTGCTGGCAGCAAAAGCCTCATGCATGGAGACGTGGATGCTCCAGGAGCTCTGCCTGTTCCTCTGCCACAAGATCACCAGCACACTCGGTCAGAAACAAATGGCTCTGCATGGGATGCTGCAGCTGAGCCTGGAGCTGGTCACAGGCGCAGCGATGGGCTCTGTGTTGGTGATAGCTCATTTTCAGGAGCATGTTTCCATGGCTCAGTGCTGTCTGCTTGCTGAGTTCTGGGCACTTGCAGCACATTTGTGCCATGCTGGTGCTGTGACAGCTCCTGCTGGAGAGAGCTGAGCCCACTGCATCTCCCTGCTCTGCTGCTCTCCCGCTGAACCTGCCTTTTGCTTCATTCATAAAATTCCTACAGCACTAATGCAATTCAGACCTTCACCCCTCTCCAGGCAGAGCCCACAGCTAGGCAAGTCCTCGCTCTTAGAGGAGGAACATTCAGCCAAATGGGGAAACCTTGCATTGTTTCATAGTTGCTGCCATTGCTGCACTCGTACATAAAACACACACACTCACACACATGCACACACAATAGAGAGCTTGTTATTCCAAGCAGCCATTCAAGCATCTTATTGTCTAAGCAATTCTCCCAGCCAATCCTGCCTTTCCCTCTACGATATCATCACCCAGGAGTACCATGCACATTTACAGCTGTAAACAGAAATGAATTCCTCCTGCTCAAACCTTGCTTTTAAATCCAGCAGATGAAGTTTCCTACGAGGAAAAAAAAAAAAAATCAATCTAGTAGTATCAAAGCTGAAACTTCAGGAAAGAAAAAGGGAAAAAAAGAAAGAAGAGAATCCTTCTTCCCGGGCAGACAGCGAGAGATCCCGGCGCTCTGTCGCAGCTGGAGAGGCAGCGGCAGGAAGGGAGCGTGTGCTGCTCAGCCAAGTATGTTTGAAATCTGTGCGCTCTTAATACTCACATTCCCCTCCCTCCACTCGTGCCGGCTATTTCTGTTCCTCGGTGACGTTCGGCATAGCGTGGCTTTGGCTGCAGCCAGTGGAGAGCCTGTTTAAAGCAGCAGCATTTTGACAGCCGGGGATTGTTCAGCTGGTTCCCCCGTGCCTGGCTGGGAGCCAGCTGTGGGGAGGGAGACGTGCAGGTTGTTTTATCCCGGGACCGGTGATACAAAAAGCCATCCCACTCCTCCTTGCATCGCTCCGGAAAGGGCAAATTCCCAACGCTGCCTGGGCAAAACCGTCGAGTCTGGGGAAGGCGAGTGGGCTGGGGAGGGTTAAATTCCTGCAGGAGGGTCGGCTGCCCAGGGAAACGGCAGAGCTCCTTGATTTGGAGATCAATTCCAAAGTGAAGCCAAAGTTTATTTGGGTTGGATGGCGTATTAAGGGACGAATCTGTGTGGTGAGATCGCGCATGGCAGCATCTGAGATATTTCAGGCTGACAGTAATGAGATGTTACCCGGCTTTTTTGGGGTTTGGTTGGTTGTCCTTCCCCAGGGATACTCAAGGAGGGTAAAGACAGAGCGAGATCAACCCAGCACCTCAAAACAACACCGTGTGAGGAAGGGGCTGGTGCTGGGAAATGCTGAAGCTCAGCTCTGGATTATTTTGTGAGCAGCTGAACGTTGTGCTGGTTGCTTGCACATGATGGGATTATTCTTCCTCTCAGTTCCCTGCTTCACCTCTGTGGACTGCAGGGAACTGTCCTGATTTATGTCAGTGAGAAGCAAGGAGCACCAACCTCTCCCAGAAGTCTCCTGCTGGACACAGGTGTGTGGGAGATGCCTGTCAGGCCTCTTACTTGCTTCACTGGTTTGCACTGGGCACCCACTGGATTAGTGATGCTTTCCAGCATGGGGCTCCTGGGAGGCAACAGCACCTGGCATGCCAGCTGGCCCTGGCACATCCATCCTGCATCACTCTTCCTAAAAGCTGTTTGCTCCTCTAACTTTTTCCCTGGATACTTGTCTGATTTCTTCCATGTTTTCAAACTCTTACACTTTGCTGGCTGTATACTCTCAGGTACATCTTGTGTCTAAGGTCCTGTCCTCCTGCAGTGGGCCCCCCAGTTTTGCTCAAGCTGCTCAGAGTGGCTGTGGTAGCAGCTGGACAGCTTGGTGAGCTCTAGCTGTGGCTGTCTCCACAGAGTGGCAGCTGGTGGGCAAAGCAGGGCCCTGCTCAGTAACAGGCTTTTGAGTGGGGTGAGGGCTTGGCTTAGGAGCAAATCCTCATGTGGAGGCTTGATTTGGCAATGAAAATGGATTTTCCATTAGTAGCTCTAACAGGGGCTGGCTGAGGAAACCCCAGGCCAAACACCCTCGTGTACATGTTTTGCTCTGAAGATTTGCTCTAAATCTTCATGTTATGCTTGGCCCCTAGAAATCTTTGGAAAAGCATGAGATGGGAGCTGCTCCTTGGGCTGCTTTGTGAGCAGGTCTGAGCTTCCCATTGTCAGTGACTTCAGAGAGCAGGAGCAGTCCCTGGGTGAGCACCGAGAGCAAAGTAATTGGTGAAGTGCTTTATTTGCTCCCAGTGGGAAGGTCACTGATGTGGTAGTGTCCTCCTCCCAGGCAGAGCAGGGACAACCTGGTGCTGGTCCTTAAATCCCTTTGCTACTGCCTGCATGTGGCTCAAATGGCACGTGGGCACAGGCCATGGGTGGGTGCAGTGATGCTGACTGGGGATGTGGGTGCCTCTGCTCAGCATCTCCAGCACATGGTAGGTGTGTGCAGGTCTCTCTCCGGGCACTCACACTGGAACTGCCACACTCCTGTTGCTCCTCTGTCACTAAAGTGACATTTGGGTTGGTGTTGATTCACCCCAGGGAAAGGAAGGAGTAGTGGGATGGGGGAAGGCTTCTGCTCAATCCATCAGTTTTCTGGACTAGTTGATCCTAACTTGATACTTCCTTTTGTGGCATTAAAACCATTCAAAAAACATTAAACTAGTGATTTGATTTATCAGGAAATCTCGGTGCCCACGAGGCTACTGTTGGGGGAAGCTGGACTCCTATATAGTCTGTGTCCTGCTGGAGTCATTAGAGGAGGTGTCTGGAGCAGTGTGGACAGTGTCAGGTTCACAGCCCTGGCTCAGAGGGTTGTTGGTGGTTGTAGTTTTGCCGCTTCTGTTCCCCTTATTTTCTTCATCTGTAAAACAGAGAGTTGTGCTCACTCGTCTCCCAGTGCTCTGAGTTTCAGGGTTTTCCATGTTTGTCTGATGATATTAGAGCTACAGACAGGAGTGGCAGCCTGTAACAGGACTAGGAACAGCACAGTCAATACTGGATGAAGATAGGAGCCCTCTGAGATATGAAACAGGTCTGTTTAATCATTCAAACAACATCCACTGCTACAGGGCTCGAGTTCTGCGTAGAGGTCTTCTGAAGTTACTGCAAAGGCAATAACCGTAATTATTCTATCAAATACAGGGCAAAAGAGACCCCTTCTCCCCTTTGATGTGAGGATTTATGCCAGTGCTATGTGAATTTGATTGTGTTTGGTAACTGATTCAAACCTCAAGGAAACTGTAAAATTTCTTGTGTATCTTTAATGGAGCTGTGTGTGCTGCCAGCTGTGCACCCCACCAGTCTGCTGCCTTCCCAGGTCTGTGCAGGGCCCTTTGACATGTTCCACCTTTGCTGGGGCAGTTTTGAGTCCAGGTTTGCCAGCAGCCATGGGCTCCCTTCTACTCCGAGCTGGATGCATAAGTTTGTCTAGGTATCGCATTTCAAAAAAAGTCTAATAAATGCTGCTCCCTCTGTGTAGGGAAAAGCATGTACAAATGCAGCCAAAATTGATAAAAGGAAAAAAATCTCATGAATGTGTCTGCATTCCTGATCTGGATCAGGTCTAGAAACATGTGCAGGCTCAGGAGAAGATGTGATTCCCATTTGCCTGACTTAGTTTACTCACCTCCATAGCAGGGCCCCTTTAATACCCACAAGTAATCATGGTATAGCATCCATGCACGTTACCGTGCTCACACAGAAATTCAAATGAGATTATGAGAAGCTGCTCTGAATCCAGGATCAGCCCAGAGAGGACCAAACATCTGCAGCATCGTGGTGAGCTCAGGTTCTCCCAGAGCCAGGAACACACCCAAATGGCAGCAGCTCCTGAGGAAGAGCATTGGTGAGGTACCTGTGACTCACTGTGCAGGACATGGCAGTCTCTTGTTGGTTGCCTCTTGTTCCTAGGAAAGTTGAATTTAAATCCCTCTGTTTCAGGACTCAGTCTTGGACATGTGCAGATGTGATATCCAAATTCCCAGCTGGTCCCCAGTTGCTTTCTTCACTCTTCCTGCTGTCTGTCCCCAGTGGTGAAAGAGCCACCATACATGGCCAACGCATTTGGAGACTTCACTGAGGGTTTTTTGGCATTTTGGTCTCCTTTCTTCCTGGTTTTTGTTGTTGGTTTTTTTTTTTCCTTTGCAATATCAGACTTCAGTTGTCCTTCTGGAGTCTGTATAGCTTTGCTTTCAGCTGCTTTGTGTGAAAGGGAGGCTCTGGGGGCTGAAATCTCCAGTTTGTTTTCCCTCATCCAGGATCCCTTACACAGATCTGGGATTTAGAGCTGCTCTGCTTTCCCCCTGCCAGTAGGAATTGCATGGACAGTTCAAGGGGTGGTGCTGAAGGGGCATGGAGATGGTCTGTCTCAGGTTGTCAGCTACCATGCCTGTGATGTTTCTGGTCCTACTAATGTCACTGTCCAGGGCAGGGGAAGCAACCCCGCTGTTCCCCACTGCTGCCCGGGAGTTTGGGTGGGAAAGGGCAGAGGACCCATGCTCTGACTCCCTGAGATTTACAGGTAAAACCCTGTGGTTTTTGGGGTACAGAAAACTGCAGAGACCAGAGATAAGGACGCTGGAAACCTTTGCTAATGAGCCTGTGCTTTGTACAAGTAGAGAAAGTCATGATTAGCTGTGAGTGGTTTTATATCTCCCATCAGTGAGTAGTATGTCTGCTTATGGGTTTGTCACAGTCACTCCCCCAGCCAGGTGCTGTTGTCTGTGGTGGCAGAGTGGATCCTGCCTG